GCCTGACCCCGCAGCCCAGAGCCAGGTGGTGGCGTCTCCTCGAGTCCGAGTCACCCCCTCCTCTTCTCTCCAGGACCCGTGATCCAGCAGAAGACACCCCGCGTCAGCGTCAGCGGGGCAGCGGGCAGGACGGCGGCGGCTCGCAAGGAGCCGCTGGCCCTGAGGCGGCGCCAGGACCCAGACACGGTGGGTTATCTGCAGTGGCCGGAAATCCTTAACTGCTTGGAAGTTCGTTAATTTTAGGTTTTTATTTGGGGTGATTTACAGAGGTGACTGACACTACCTGCCTTTGTATTTTTGACACCTTGGCTTTGGGTGAGTACTTTGGGAGGTTTAATGTACAATAAAGTATGCAGATCTAAGTGTAAAGCTCTCCAGACGGGTCCTGTGTGTGGAGACGCCTGACCTTCAAGTTGAGTGGTTCAGAGTCCCAGCAGGATCCCCGGCACCCTCCCTCCCCCGCCCTCCCCAGCAGCCTCTGGCCAGACTTTTACCCCAGTGCTGCTGAGTTGAAGTGTCGTCAGCACTCGGTGGCTTCTTCCACTCCAGTGTGTCTTTGAAATTCCATGTTTTCATGGAAGTGGCAGAGTCCATTTTTGTTGCTGATTTGTAGACTATCAAGACCACAGCACAGTTCATCTGTTTGCTCATGGATGATGCTGAAGTACTCAGGATTCAGCTGTGATTATTTAGTGGCCATGAGCATTCTCGGTCAAGCGTTCGGACGGAAACGTGGAATGTTAAAGGTCAGGAGTGTTTTAGGGTGGCTGTCAGCACTGCCCCGGCGCACGCTGGTACCGGCTGCACGTCGGGGGGCTTCCTCGCAGGCACCGAGGGCAGCAGAGGCCCGAGACAGTGGCCCCCTCGGCCACCGTCACCATGCTCTTCCTCTCCAAAGATTGCCCGACGCGCCTGTTACTGCTCAGAGTCTGTTCTTAGTAGAGCTATCAGATGACGTGTGTGCATTTTAATTTTTTCTGCTTGTTCTTTGCACCTGGCCACTTGGGTTACTATGAAGTTTATATTCTTAGTGAATCGAGTATCAGCTTAAAGTTGCATAAAGCAAAAAAAGTACTAAGATATATTGATATATCTAGATAGGCACACATATTTTTGAATTGCATATAAATAACCTGCAGGAAAATTTTATTTTTGTATAGAAACTTTACCAGAAAACACTGGAGATGCTTCCACTAAGACCACTACCACTACAGAGCCCGTTCAGAGGTATGTCTGTCTGCTGTCAGAGTCGGTTTTCTCTCCTTTACTGGTGGATGAATAGTGATGTGTTTGTGCCTTTTTCTTTTCTGCTCAGCTTCCACCCACAAATAAAATGGTTCCAAAAAGATGATATGGTCATATTAAAAATAAGAATAAGGAATGTAAAAGATTATAAATGTAAATATTCTAGAGACAGAGTTGTTTTCAGGTAGGTTTCTCTCATATCTTCTATCTGTGTATGTTACAAAGTAAAACAGAAAAAAAAAATCTCACATTTTAAAAGGCTGACTGTATTTCTCCACTTGTTTTTGGAAACCTAGTGCCTGGGTGGGAGACAGATTTTATTTGGCTGATATGGAGCTGCAGGCCAACATAGTAAAAGATGACTGCAGATGCGTAATTAAAAACGACGAGCCCGTGATCACCCTTGCCAAGGAGAAAAGGGGACCGTGGTGCAGCTTACTCAGACAGAGGGTGAGTTGAAAATGCCGGGGACTGAGCGTCACGCCCTGACTGTATCTCTCGCTCTCGCTTACCGTGAACTCTTACATTGAACAGAACCCTAATGTGGCTTTTGACTTTGAGCACTGGGAAGAATGTGAAGAGGACAGCAACCACTTCTCCAGAGGTGAGGCAGTGTGCCCGCTGCCGGGGGGCTGTGGCGCGGGCGTCCAGGGCCGCGGCTCAGGGGAAGCCCTGAGAGCTTCTGCCCGTGTCTGGCCTCGGTGCGGACGGCTCTCGTGCAGGAGCTGTCACGCCGTTGTCCCAGCAGACCTCCTTTCCTTTTACAATGGCTTTCCTAGGAGAAGTAGGAACATTCCACCTGCTCATTTCTTGCCTACAGTAATGAAAATACAAAATGAGGTGCAAGATAGAACTGGAATTCGAGGGACTTCTTTTCCATTGAAAAGGGGGAGGGCGGACTTGCTAACCATTAGAACCGCGCTTAACATATGTTTTATGTTATCTAACTTTCCTAGTTATAAGTCCAAAGCCCCTGTCCTGCAAAGTGGCGGAGGAGGTTGACAACAGTGACAAAACTTCAGAGGAGGATGAAAGTGAGAGTGACTGAGCCTGGGAATCGCATCCTAACGCGTGACTCTAAGTCTTTGAACAGGAGTGACAACTGGCTGACAGGAAGAAAACAGGCAGTCACGGTGAAGGATTCACTTCCATGGGATCAATAGTACTGAGTTAGCTGAGGCTCTGGGATTGGTGATGGCCAGGAACTCTTAATGGATGTAAAACGGCTTCAGAGGAGGGAGAGGGATGCAGGAGCAGAGGGAGGCGCTGGCTCTGTCTTCTCGTGGCCGCCCAGCCCGCGCTGCGAGCAGCCACGCTTGGTGCTGCGCGGTGCCGGCTGGCTTGGTCTCCTCGTTCTTTTCTCTCAGACCTGCGTCTGGCGCACGGCTGGGAAGCCGGTCTCGTGCGCGCAGGTGGAGGTCTCCGTCTTACCCGCCTCCGCCCCGCCTCTCGCTCTGTCGGCCGCGCGTCAGTTTGGGATTCAGCGTAGCTGTCTGTGTGCAAATAGCATTCGTAAGCTTTTGGTGACTACAGAGAGTCAGCTTACTTCTTACGAAGTGTGAATCCAAGGACGAAACCAGGGGATGTCTCAGCCGTGCCAGCCAGAGCAGGGCCTTCTGGAGGGACAGCTGCCGCTGCTGGGGACAGCCGTGGTCCTGTGGAGTCCTAGACAGGGAGCAGAGGCTCTCCCCGTGGGGAAGGGAAGGGGCCCCTGGAGTGACCCTCGCTGTGGACAGTCGTGACCCCATCCCGGGGCGAGGTCAGGAGGTGGGCGGGACAGATGTGCGTGCCATTACCACAAGCGCAGGGTGCCCAGACCTGGCTGTCCACGGAATGGGCAAGCTCGAAGGGGGGGCGCTGAGAGACAGCAGCCCTGTGCGGGCCTCGGGGAGGCTGGCCGCTCTGCCGCCAAGATCTTTACCGCTTACATCAGAAAGCACAAGTTCCCCAGTTCCTGCCCGGCCGGGATGAAACCACCACTCGGACAGGAGGCAGCTCTGCCGGCACCCTGCCCCTGGGCAGGTTCGGCCATGCTCTGACTCTCAGTTTCCTCATCTGTAAAATAAGACTCTGCTCATTGCATGTGGCCCCTCGGCTGGGGTGAGCCAGGGCGGGGCCTCTGTTCTGTGCAGCAGCTCCACGCTGGGGGTCAGACCTCCCCCGGCTGGGAAAACTGAGTCCAGGTGAACAGCTGCGGGGGCGAGTCCTTGGCCGGCCGGACAGGGCGGCGTGGGCGGCTCTGCAGGCGGAGGCGGTGCTGGTGCCTTTGCTGGCGGAGGTCTTGACCCTGTGAGCTCTTCTAAGGTCCTCGGCTGCTGTCGGATTCTGCTGTTTTCCCCTCAAAGGTGGCCTGCGGTGGGTGACCAGGCCTTGTGCGTGGCTCCAGCTTTCCCTGCGGTCCGCTGTTGCTTGTGCTCGATGGCAAATAATAACAGCAAGTGACCGAGCCGGCATGGATTTCCCGCGTGCAAATGGCGTGGGCTTGCAGGGAAAACGTGCTGGAGGAGGAGGCTGGAGGTTTAATCTCAATTCTTTCAGACATTTAAGTTTACTAATATTTGTAGTTTGAATACCATTTTGTAGGGTACAGGACACAGACTTTTGTGAAATGTAAGCCAGTTACAGTTGTTCTGTTCTGCTGTCATGTATTGATTTCATGTTTAGGGAAACTTTCTGAAATGCAAGTAGTGCTTTGTCCACGCGTCTAAAATAACTCACATAGGAGCGGCCGTGTGACCATCCTTACAGGGTGTCGTCAATAAAGCCTCCGTGTTGCCACAGAAATACGACTTCTCACATGTTTCAGACAGCTTTCCCGGAATGCCATGTAGCCTTGTTGGCCGCAGGGAAGCCAGCAGCAGTGCCGGGGGGCGCTGCGGGGAGCCTGTGCTACAGCCTGGCGCCCTGCGGGCGGGCGCGGCGGCCCGGCTGGTCCTGGGCCGCTGCTGTTGCCGCCAGCCTGGGAAGACGGCTCCATCCACCCCCATTAAATGCCAGGGCAGCCGTACTGTGGGGGGGGGGGGGGGCGCTTCCTGGCAAAAAATACTCAAAGTAAAGGCTCTAGAATATCACATAAAATAGGCATGCACCTTCTTGATCCCTGCATTGGACGGACACCCTTGGCTTAAATAGGGGTGATGTGTGCCCTGTTGGCATCACCCCCGCTCTGCGGTGTTCCTCCCTCCCTCGCCACTGTTCCATGGAAGGTTACACCCTCACCTGCGATGCCAGAGACCCCCACCCCACACAGAGAATAAGGACAGCCGAAAACACCAGGTTATAAACATCCAAATCTATTTTTTCTTAAGAAAAACATAAGGAATAACCACAAATACTGCTTACAAAAATAAATTCATCCCAACTTGGCCTTGACTGCCGATGACTACTCGCTACTCGGGAGCTTCCTCTGGCGGGACCACTTCCATCAGCATCTGAAGGTGCATGGTGATCGGGTCTGGGGAGGTCATGGAAAACTCAGTCAGAAAAATTCATTCAGAATTCACCTCCCCTTGCCTGTGGGTGAGCAGTGATACTATGGCAGCGCCCTGGTGGGGTGCGGGGCATGCCTGCAGGTAGAAACGCTCCCAGCCGGCCTGGGGCCACAGTGGTTCCTTGGAGAGAAGCTGTGTCTCGTTGCAGCATTAGAAACATGATCTACATTTTATTACCGCCAGACAATGTATAGGGAAAAAAATAGAATGATTTAGCCTGTAAGCCTGTTTACCACCACTGACCAAGAGTTGAATATATAACCTGGAACCATTTAAGATTGTCTTGTTTGAAATATTACTATTACTCCTTTCACCTCCTAATTAGAACTCCTTACTGTTTTTTGGGTGTTTTGTTTTACAGAACAACTTAGCCAAATAATCTAGGTCTGAGCAAGAATCGTACTTTGTAGCGTTGGGTTCTAAGTCATCTGCCTGGACTGACAGTATAATCAAGACCACACTTATTTCAAAGGCCGGGGGGTGGGGGTGTCAGGTGGGGGGGGGCAGCTTTCATTTCTACAGCTGCCTGCCTGCCATCTTCTCTCAGTTTAGGCTCACGTCCCTGCGACCGGGGTCGGGGGCAGCTATTTCAGACAAGGTAAAAAACTGGTGGAATCATAAAGGCTTGCTTTGGGGTTGGTTTCACTTCGCTAATCAACATTCTCTTGATATATTTGTAACTCCACTGCTGAGGGGCGGTACCAGAATCTGCAGAGGACTGGAGGCTGGGTGGGTCAGAGCCTGCCTGCCGGCGGAGTGCTCTCAGTCCACGAAGCTGAGTCTGAAGCCTCAGGGTCAACTTCACCCACCTCCAGCTGCCTTTTGTTCTTTTGCGCCTTATCTGCTTTCTGCAAAATGTGTACAAATAAAAGCAAGGAGGAGGCCGGGGTTGGGTTGGCTCCTGTGAGCGGGCAAGTTCCAAGAGAAAGGAAGAAATGGAGTTTTCCTCAGCTTCACAATGAGTAAGTACCACGTGGCTGCTGACTGAGTTTGTGCAGCCCAAGTCCTGTTTGCTAGGAACTCATTCTGGGGAGAGGGACGGGAAGCCCCCGGTCACCACTGGTGAGGGAGTACGGGGCCAGCTGGAACAACAGTTTTCATTGTTAAGCGAGCTGTGTCGGCTGGGGCTTTGTGGCTGAGCGTGGTGTAGAATGGGCATCCCTCAGAGCACCTCATGACTGGCACTGCCATTTACAAGTGGCCGTGCCAGTGTGTGATGTGGCTAAACAACTAGGCAACAGTTTGGACATGTCAAGAACATATATAGAACATATATGTGACACCGAGAACATATACATGGCACTGAGGACATATGTAGTGTGTTGATAGCATGTGGCTAGCATGCCAAGAACACACCAAGATATGCGAGTGGGACGCCTGCCATTACCAAGGACATGGTGAGGATGCATCTGACATGCTAAGAACATGTTAGCAGCCATGGACATGCTAGTGATGTCGCACCACTCTATTAGTCTGACACAGTATTGACACGCTTTGGCGTGCTAAGTACGTACTGGTGTGTCTGTGACATTGACACGCTAAGAACATGTTATTGAAATATATGGCATACTGATGACATGTATCTGGCATAATAAAATGCTATTGGCATATGTCTGGCATGTTGGTGGCATGTTTCATGTGCTAAGACCATGTTTCTGGTATGTTGACATGCCATCCGCATTTGTCTGAGATGCTGGTGATATGTGCCTGACATGCTGAGAACATGGTGATAACTGGTGTGCTGAGAACATGTTAACTTGTGTCCAGCACATTGATAATGTGTCTCAGTGGTTACGAACATGCTATTGACAGGCATCTGACATGCTAAGAACTGCTCTCAACACATGTCTGTCGTGCTTGTTGCGTGCATCCGATCTGATAAGAACATGTGTGTGCTGTGATGTGTTGAAGACATGTTGGTTACATGAGTGTCTTGTGTCTGGCATATGTCTTGTATTGTCTGTCATGACAATGTGTGTCTTGTGTCTGACAGAACACCATGTATCTGACATGGTGAGAACATGCTAAGAACAGGTAATGATATGCCGCTGACATGTCTGACCTACTAAGGACAGAATACAAGTATGTGTTTAACATTGAATTGTTGGTATCGTGTTCTACACACGAAGAGCATGCTAGTGTCGTGTGTGTGACATGCTGAGAACATTATCAGTGTCTGTCATGTTAAGAACATCTGTCTGGTGTAAGCAGCTGTGTGTGACATGATACAAACGTGTTAAGGACTTCTATCTGGTATGCTAATGAATTACTAACACCGTAGTAGTCTGGCTTGCTAAGAACACACAGTGCGTGGCCTGTTGAGATGTGTGTTGTGTGTGGCCAACGTGCTAGGAACGTGTGGTGTGACATGTTGATTGCCTTGTCTAACATGTTGATTGCCTTGTCTAACATGTAGAGAACATGCCAAGAATGAACAGCTTTGTTGATACTTACTGGAGATTTTCTGGGTCCATGCAAACTTACACCGGACAAAGAGGAAGTAAAACACGAGGCCGCTCAGTATGAATATCACGCAGTAGAGGTACTCCCACGCAGGCTCACTGGCGATCGGGGCCACCACCAGGAACGCGGAGACGAGGGTCACCAGGATGGGGATGACAATGGGCACCTGCGGCGAGGGAGCACAGCCTCGTGGTTGGGCATGCGCGGGAGTTCTCTTTTAGAAGTTTTTGAGAACATTGCTATAGAAAATGTGTAATAAGTCCATGAATCCCACACTCTGAAATTCAGTAATGTTTCATTTTACCAACCCTCTTTTCACTTCTTTCACCTTCTTTTCCCTACATTCCAGAGGGGCCATCTGGCTATGAAGTGCTCAGTGCCCCTCTCGGGCTTCACGCATCAGGCATGTCTCCACCTTCCTTTAAAAACACGCGGCACTGATCTGCTGTAGGAGATGGGTGATTGACCCCGCAGAGACTGCCCGGCTCTGCCTGGAGGCCCCCTCCTCCCTTCCCCGCGCTTCCCATAACCTGGCCGTGAGACCCAGAGGGGACGTGTCCCGCTGAGCGGTGCGTGTCCTCCCACAACCCCTGGCGTCTCGTGCCTGTGGTCCACGTTTGAAGCGTGGGGTGGGGAGGTATCCACTCCCACAGGCCTCAGTACACCAGGTCCCGCGGGAGCCCGTGTCCTCTGGGCAAGCTGCCTAAGAAGCCACCCTCTGCGTGACTGGGGTATGTGTTCTTTCATCAGGATGGGGAGAAGTTATGAATTCGCACCGGTGTTTCCAATTGGATCACTCTGCTGCTCAAAATCTTGTTTCTTGTTTCTTAACGGCTTTCACATAATAAACACAACTATTTGCTACCATGTGCCTGTAATAAATATCAAAACAACTAACACTACAAGTAGCAGTCAGGTTTCAGATTTTTTTTGCAGTTTTTTTTTTTTTAAACCACACAACCTACCCACAAAGAAAATTCACTGAAATGCTGCACTTTGCCATCAGCCGGGTCACTGTTCGCTCTGATGCCTGCTGTCAGAGTAAAGGTATCACTGTTCGTTTTTAGAGATTTGATTTTTGGATTTTCACTTTTTAATAGAATTTTCAACTTAAATGTTTTTCTTTTATTACTCCATCGTCTTTTTGAAAGTAAGCACTCGTTTGCACAAAGACATGTTAACCCACTAGTGCCCTTGTGTAAGCGACCAAGTCCGTACACGGCAGTGCCCTCTGCCACTAACATAGGCCATAGGTGAGTCAGATGGACACGCAAACGGATCGCGCCTGCTTTTTCCGGACTGCATGCTATACTTTGAGACTGTACCAAAGTGAGTTCACCCAGTCTCCTACTGATTTGCCATTTGAGAACCTCTTGCTGTTGCAGTTAATGTTGGAGTAGGCAGCTTTGCATATATTTTTTTTGTGTGTGTGTGATTTCACTTTGTGATAGATTGCCTCACAGTGGGTGGCTGGTCAAAGTTTTGCTAGATTATGCCGTGTTTCCTCCACGGTGCTTGTCATCTGGATAGCAATGAAGGACAGGGCTGCTCCCCTCATAAAGGAAGCGGTAGCTCTGGATTGAGGCCTGGACTCTTTTCAACACCCAGGTTGAGCCTGCAGAGATCCCTTTCGTTTTCAAGTTTCAGAGCGCCTTTCTTTGAACGGTGTGTGTATGTATGCATGATGTAAAAAACGTGTTCACCGACATACTGTTAGAAAGTCAACGGGTGATTTCCTGGTGACCATCCAGCTTGTATGGTTGAAGTGACGTTAACGCAGTAACTGCCTGACCTAGCGCATGAGACACTGTCCCCCGCTGCCAGTCTGCCGGCTTGTGCGGGGACTGAGCTGGATTTAGAAAGCAGTTTGGGTGCTTTGCCATGTGTGTGGTAAAAAATACTGGGTTGTAGCTTGGGACTTTCAATATTAATTGGCCTAGAGTAACTGGAAATGAGACTTAAGAGATGCTGAGATTCTATAAAGGTTGGGTGTGTTAAAAACTAGTAACCAGGCCCTCCCTGGTGGCACAGCGGGTTAAAGCACCGCACTGAGAATCTAAAGGCCACTTCCTCGTGAGTTCAATTCCCGCCTACCCCGGAGGTGACCACATGGCGTGGCAGACATCTCCTGACCCGCCCGCTGCTCCCCTCAGCAGTGTACTTGGTCGATCTGCCTGTTCTGCTCCCCACTCTGTCTCTGGTGAATCCTCTCACCCTCCACACCTCTGGCCTGTACCCCAGTTCTATATGAATAAATAAATAAATCTTAAAAAAAAAAAAAAAAAAACCTAGTAACCAACAACAAAAACCCCGAGTAAGCACCTTCCAAGAAATAACCGTGAAGGTGCTGTGATCTGCCTATGACTCTTCATAGATGCGTCTTTTTGGTCTGCTCCCGTTTTATATCTTGCTGTTTTCAGGTTTTTACATAACATGTCTATCGGATTTTGTTCTGAGAGTTTCCATTCTAGGTGGCAGCTATAAGACCTTGGCCTCTGTTTTAGATTTTGTCTGTTCTAAGCAGTGATGAAATCAGGTTTCCACTCCCTTCCCTCTTCCCGCAGGTTATAATTTTAAATGGTAAGGCTGTTTCTTTGGCGTCCTCACTATGCTTTATCTTCCATTTGTGCTGACTTATGTAAGTCTCACACACACACACACACACACACACACACACACACACACACACACGGCAGTGCTTAATGCTTATGTGCTCTGTTACCCTTATTCCTGTTTAGCTCTGTGGTTAACTGCTGTATGCCAGTGCCTAGTTTCGAAGGCTCATTTGCCAGACCACTGAGGATGCTTTCGTGGGGCATTGAGTGCTTCCCTGTGTGTAACTCAATTTTGCAAAAGCAACTCTGCTGAAGCCTTTGGCTTACATTTTCTCTTTGAAAATATCTCACATTGCTGGATCACAGGCATGTGCCAACCATGTCTCACGGTCCCAGGCAGTGCAGTGGGCAGTGTGATGCCTGCGTTGTACACTTGCCCTGTGTGTGAATGGGTGGAGGGCTGTCCAGGGCTGTCCAGAGCGGCAGGAGCAGAGTGGAGACCCAGAGCATTTCCCAAGCTCCACGATTTGTTAGAATGTATTTCTTTTTGGCTCCTGCTAGTTCAGACTCCCTGTTAAGCCATATGAAGCCCATATGTTCGTTCCCTTCGCTCCTCCCACCTTCCTTCCTTCCCCAGGAAATGTTTCTTGTGTGGCAGTTTGTCAGCACTGTTACTTTTTTTTTTCTTCTTCAGAAACTACAATTACAAATATGTTCCTTTTTCCCCTCTGTCTCCTTTAGTTATGTTCTCTCAAATCCTTTTTATTTCTGCTTGAGAGATTGTGCAGAATGACAGTCTGTTCTACCACCATGATTTTGCATGGTGGAACAGCCTAATTCCAGGCTGCAGGCCTTAGTGAGCTCTGCAGACATGGTGATAATCAGAAAGGCCAGTAGCAAACCCCAAAGCTAAAGATACCCTTTTCCCCATCTCTTGTGTGCTTACTGAAGCTTCCACACCCCCTGTTGCTTGTATCCTGTTATAAGAACTTCTTCTAATAACTTGGTGGTTGTACATATAACAGAAAAGCCCGCTGAGGTAAGTGAAGCGGAGTAAATCCTCACCCCCCTCGGTGTGTAGCCCCTCCCCAGCCACGCAGACAGGTGGGAGGGGCCTTCGGTGGCCTCGAGGGCTATCGTGGTCGCTGTGCAGGCTGGGCCTGGGGCCGGCCTTGAGAGGGCCTTGGCTCTGGGGAAGGGCGTGCCCGAGACCTTGAGAACTGTCAGCCCTGGGCACCCTTCTTGGGTTAGTTAGGTGCTTGGTGGGTTAGGTGCTGGGTACCCTTCATAACTGAATAGTTACTACCTAGGTGACTAATTGAATCATAACCTGTAGTAGGAAATGAAGCACAAACTCTAAAGTAGGATCCTCAAGATCAAGTCAGGTAGAAAGCAGGCCACCGGCTTTTAAGACGGTCACCTCCAGCTAACACAGTGCAAGAAATCAAAGCCACCTGTGACATTTAAGATCGTAAACCTACCTTGATAGGTCTTTTCATGTCTTTCTTCGTAAACCTCATCACAATCAGCCCCAGAATTGCCAAGCCATAAAACATCCATGCAGCAAAACTGAAGTAATTGACCAAGGAGTTGATGTTACCAGGGATGATGTAAATGGTTGCGATGATGCCCTAGTAGAAAGAAGCGAGTGTGGGTACTGTTGCATAAAAATGTGATCCTGTCGTCTCATAGCGGCCGAGGGGGCAGTTTCCCCACAGACAGACCCTTCTGAATGCAACAAAGTGCTGCGTGTTCCGTGATACTTGGGTTAAGGGCCAGGCCGTGGCTGTGATAGGTGGTCTCTGGGAAGCCAATGAAAGGACTTGGGAAATAGGTAAATTTTGAAGTTACAGCTTTAAGCAGAGGAAACACAAAGGGCATGTGTATGTCATTCCCCTTTTTCTAATTATGAATTTTCCTCCCAGAGAGTTCTCACCACAGGAGAGGCCCCAGGATTATGACACGGGCTGGCCAGCCCAGTAATGACCTGTGTCAGCTGTGTGGCCCTCACATGCACTTGACTCTGGGGGCTGTTTCCTCATCTGGGTCTTGCCAGGCAGAGAAGGGGAGGGAGGGGGGGTCGGCCCTGAAGTGGGGGCCTGGGTGCCCGAGAGAGCTGCACAAGACAGAGACTGCCTCCGACAGAGCAACCCGTCAGGGTTTCAGAGGGCCTTTCCTGCACAATGACTTCTGAACGCTGGGCCTTGCGAGAAACTAGAAAATGGCTAATTCTTCCCGGCTAGCACATGGTTTCTGCATAACTCATCAGCAGTGTAACGGGGTCCCCAGGAAAAGGGGAGGCTTCAGGTTCCCTGCCCCACCCAGAAGGAGGGTGGAGCTGAGCAGGGAGGACAAGAACCTGAGGAAGGAAGCAGGATGGAGCCAGAAGGGGACCTGAGGGAGGCAACTGGGGGCAGAGAGACGTGGGGAAGCAGCTCTGGCTTCTTGGCCCTGGACTGGGTGACACAGACGTGGGTGAGAGACCCGTGGGGAGGTGACTGTGGCAGCGTTTATCTTGATTTTGATGTTGCTCTTTCCCTCCCAGACTCGTCTGACCATTGCTGACCCTTTTCTATGGGTCCCGGCCAGAAGGTGCTTTAGGCTGGTGTCGGGCTTTCAGGACTTGCTTGGGCCAGTCCCTGTTGGATGGACTTTTGCCCAGAGGGGATGGGGGACGTTGGGGGTTTGATTTAGAAACTATTCTCTTGTCTTTTCTGTTATCGCACCCTCACTGTATTGAAGTCCCTTTCCATTAGAGGTCTTATATATATATTTTGTCTCGATGCAGAGGATCACAGGACCTATTTAGAAGGGCAGGTTTGGGGTTCGGGGGTGCCCCTCCCCTTTAACACCAGCACAGAGGGTGCATGTGAGGGGACACATGGCAGAGATTCAGACAGGCGCTTCCTAGACAGATTCAGGAGCAGGAAACCGTCAGGTCGAGGATGGTGGGAACCTGGGGCCTTTGGAAGCTACTGGGACCTCAGTGCAGGTTGAAACGGGCCGAGGAAGGGGGTGCTCCAGGGCGGGATTCACACTCACGTAGAAGATGATGGCAGGGGCAGGCGTGAGGCGCCGGACGCTGACGTAGGACAGCACCTTGAGCATGTGGCCCTCGCGGCCGGCCACGTAGACGAGCCTGCAAAACAGCAACCCCAGCGCACTGAGCCAGCGGGCAGTGTCCTGAGGCCACCGAGCAGCACACTGAGGGGCCACCGCAGGTCTCCAGGCGGGAATCTGACCCCAGCGTGGCGTGAGTCCCGGGGAGTAAGTGAGGTGCAGGCTCCTCCCTGTGCCCGCAGACACCCAGTGCTGCTCGAGGGCGAGTCAGGACCTCAGGCCTAAAAGCCGTGCAAGAAACAGTGTCACCCCCAGCGCTCAGGGCCCTCGGCGCAAAGCACAGGAGAGCCTGGCTCTACCAGAACCTTGGAGCTGACACTGTTCTTAAACCAGGCAAAGGTGAGGCAGCAGCTGCTCGGCCTCGCCAGCCCCCCGCCCCCCAATCCTGGCCATTCAGGGCTTAAACAAAGCCTGCCAGTTGGTTGTGCCGGCTCATTGTTTTCAATAGCTCTTCAGTGGAATTTTGAGGGCTTTCTGTGTATATTATCATGTGTCTCAAAGAGCGATACTTAATTCCTTCTCCGATTTGGATTTCTTGTATATTTTCCTCTTGCCTAGTTGCTCTAGCGAGGACCTGGTCCGACACTGGTGAACAGAAGTCTGGGAGTGGACGGCCTTGCCGTGGGCCTTAGAGGGTCCTTGCAGTGTTGCAGCCCCGGGTATGAGCTTAGCTGTGGGGGGCACATGAGGGCGTTATAGTACTGACGTACATGCCTTCTTTCCCCTCAAGTTTCTCTCATACATTGAGACTTGGTCTCATCAAGTGCTATCTCTGCACTATCGACGGGAGTATAAGATTTCTGTTTTTCCTTCCTTTTGTTGATGTGTGAAGTTGCGTATGCTCCACCATCCTCGGCCCCTGCGGTAAATCCCATTTGGTCCTGAAGTGTGATCTTATTGATGTATTGTTGGATTCACTTTGCTAAGGACTTTTGCCTCTATGTTCATCAGGGATATTAGTCGGTAGTTTTCTTTGTAACGTCCTTGTTGGCTTTTGGTATCAGAGTAGTGTTGACCTTCAGTTTTTTGGAAGAGCGTGAGATGGATAAGTATTGGTTTTATAATGGGGGAGGCTTCCCCAGGAGAAGAGGAGGCTCCCTGCCCCATCCAGAGAAGGGTGGAGCTGAGCAGGGAGGAGAAGAATCCGGATCAGAGACTGAAGACTGAGGAGGAAGGAAGCAGGATGGAGCCAGAAGGAGACCTGAGGGAGCCACAGGGAGCAGACACATGTGAAGAAACTGCACTTGCTTCTGGGCCCTGGACTGGGTGACACAGACGTGGGTGAGACCCGTGGGGAGGTGACTGCGGCAGCGTTTATATTGATTTTGATGTTGTTCTTTTCCTCCCAGACCCGTCTGGCCATTTCTGACCCTTTTCTGTGGATCCCGGCCAGAAGGTGCTTTAGTCTTTTATTGGGCATTCAGGCCTTGCTTGGGCCGGTCCCTGTTGGGTGGACAATTACCCATGAAGGGACAGGTAACTCTGGGGATTTGATTTGGAAACTGTATCATTTGTCTTTTCTATATTGCACTCTCATTGTATTAAAGTTCCTTTCCATGAAAGGTCTTATATGTTCTGTCTTGATACAGCAGATAGCAGAACCTACTTAAAGTGGGCAGGTTTGGGGGTTCAGAGGTGCCCTGCTCCCTGTCCTGTAACAGTTGTCTTGGAAAGTTTGGTAGAATTCACTGATAAGGCTATTTGGGGAGAGTTTTGATTACTATTTCAATTTTCTTGCTTTTAATTAGTCTGTTCAAACCTTCTGTTTCTCCCTATTTAGTCTTGAAAGGTCATGTGCTTCTAAAAATTTGTGTCTGCTGGGTCATCAACTTGTTGGCAAAAAGACGTTCTTAGTGGTCTCATGACCCTCTGTATTTTTGAGATACTTGTAACTTCTCTTTCATTTGTGATTCTTATTAGAGTTTTTGTCTTTTTTTAGTGAACCTAGTTAGAGGTTTGTCTGTCTTACTTTTTCAAAGAACCAACATTTAATTTTATCACTCTTTTATACCTGGTGATTTCTGTTTACTTCCACTCACATGTCTGCTATCCACTTTGGCTTCAGTTGCTCTTCTCTTCCTACCTTCCTTAGAGCATGAGGGTCATTTATTTGAGATCTCGTTTCTTGATACAGACTTCCCTCTTAGTGGTTTCATTGTTTTCTCCAGCTATTTTTAAATTTCTCCTTTGTTTTCCTTATTGACTCACTAGTCATTTAGTAACATGTTGACAAACAAACCAGTTTCAAAGTGGGCAAAAGGCTTAACAGCTCCCTCCGGAGAGGCTGTGTGGAAGGCTAGTAAACAAAGATGCTCAGCTTTTGTGGGTCACTAGGGAAATGCAAATTAAGCCAGAAAGACTTATCAATACCCACTTTTGTGCTATAATCAAAAACACTATCAAGTGTTGGTGAGAATGTGGTGAATCAAGCTCTCATGCACTGCTTATAGAAATTAAAGTGGAATCACCACTTGGAAAGCAGCTTCTTTAGACGTTACTGCGTGACCCAACAGTTCTTTTCCTGAGAACCTACCTGAGAGAAATACAAACATAGGTCCCCACAAGAAGTACATGTGAATATTCATAGCAGCATTGTTCAAATTATTCCAAACAGGGAACAATCCAAATTTATCGACTGGCGAATGGGTAAACAAAACGTGCTATCTCCACATAATATGGGAGACTGTTCAAGTGAAAGAAATGATCGGATACAAGCTAGACTCGGAAGAAGCTCAAAAATAATATGCTAACCGAAAACAACCAGATGTGAGCAGAAGCGACAGATGGTATCATTCCATGTAGCTGAAATGTCTAGAAAAGAGAACTCTGTAGCATATCAATGGTTGGCTGGGGCTGGAAGCAGAAGCAGGAATTAGCTGCAGCCGGGCAGGGGTAGCTTTTTGGATAAAGGAGATGTTCTAGAATTGGACTGTGATGATGCTCGCACAACTTTTTAAGGTACCTGAAATGACTACAGTTACAGTGAGTTTTATGGCATGTATAATTCAACAGAGCTGTTGAAATTGTTTTTCAGTGTCCTACGATAAGCTGTTAAACGGAACAGTTTTAATTTAAAAAATACCACTCATAACCATGAAGAAAAGAATGAAACAATTTGCGATAAATCTGGAAGAAAAGATGTGCAAGAACTGTGGACTGTAAACTGCATCCCAAAAAAAAAATTTTTTTTGAAAAAAAAATTGAAGATCAGAATAAATGAGTCAGTCCTCTCCAAACTGATCGATATGAGCTCAATGCACTCTTAATCAGAATGCCCAAATGGCGTTTTTGTAGACACTGACAAGCCGATGCTAGAATGCAAATAGGTATTCTATTTGCACAATATCGAGAATAACCCCAGCACTTGAAGAAGCAAAGTGCAGGACTAGAAACGCCTGTGCCTTTGGAACCACTTTGTGATATTTTGTAAGTACTTAAGGGTGTGACCTTGGCAGCTTCTCAAATACAGCAGCGCTGGGCATTTGCTCAAGAATGGTGCCTGCAGCATGTTTATGAAAACAGCCCCACCCGGCCCAGGAGTGGAGGTCATGTTCGGTTCTACCTCATAAAACGCAACACAGCACAGCTTGTAGCTGGGCTGGTGGCACCCAGGCGCCCGCGGGCTGACACGCTTGGCCTGTTGAGGCAAACGCCGTGTGGCCGCTGTCTGCTTTCACGCAGAGCCCGAGTCGGGTGGTCGCGACACCCGCCGTGGCCTGCAAGCCCGAGATGTGTGCTCGCTGCTGCCCCTACGGAGGAGCCAGCACCCTGGGGTCTGGTTTGTGTGTGTGTTAACATGAGATGTGCCGCAGATGGCACTGGGAGAAAACCCGGGAAAAGAAGAACAGAAAGGCTCAATCCGTGTCTCGTCCCCGTCACCAGGCTGTGCTGGGTCCCAGCACTGTCCCAGGGCCCCGCAGCCCGGACAGCCTTGTGGGCTTGGGTGGCCTGGGGGGTTCCCCGGCAGGTCCCCTCCGAGCGCCCGCCTACCTGCCCGTGGTGAAGCATGTCCCATTGGCTGCACCGATGGTGGAGAAAGCCACAAATAGGGGGACCACCCACGAGGCGGGGTAGAGGACGCGGTTACCAAACGTCTGAGAAGAAGAGAGAAGTGGTGTGAGTCCTGGCCTGTTGCCAGTCGGGGGCCACCCCCAGGGGCGCAGCCGCAGGACAGGGAAGTGTAGAGAACCACCCGGAGCAGACTCCCCACCTCTCATCAGCGTTTCAGGGTCTTCTGATGGGGCAGAGCCCCTCAGCCACGGCTCCCTCCCTCCCGCCGCTCCAGCAGCCCCCCACCCCCCACCCCCTCTGCTGGCCCGTGTCAGTGACCTCCCGCAGCTAGCACTGCGTGTCCCCACTCTCTGGCCCTCTCACCCCTCCTTTGGCCCCTGGGCAGTCCCGGCTCACGTGGCCTGCAGCACATGGGCCCGGCCGTCCCCCCCCCCTCCCCGCACCCTTCTCTGTGATCCTTGAGTCCCTCCTCCTGGCCCTCCTCCTGGCCCGGCTTCCCTCCCACCACCCACTTTTATGGGCCTCTGCTCCTTGGCCTTTACCCCTCCCCACTCTTCTGTCAGACTCTACCGCCCAACCTGCCCTGCCACACCCAGGCCGGCGCCAGGCCGCGGGGTGCTGGAGGGAGGGAATGGCTCCCAGCTGCTGACTGCAGGGTCTTGGTGCTGCCCTGCGCTGCTCTGGACCTCAGTCCGGCCGTCCCCTCCCTCGGGCCCGCCACAGACACCGCTCGTACCACGGCCACCGCCTGGGACTGCAGGAGCTCGGTCGCCGTCATCACGGTGAAGTAGGACACGTTCATGAGGATGTAGCAGCACGTCACCAGGGGGATCCCGATGATGATGGCCAGCGGCAGGTTCCTGGCAGGCGGGCCGTCCAGGGCACTGTGAGACTCCCACGACGGCTTCACGCCACCCTCCCCCCACCTGGGCCGCCCCCCTGCTGCTCCCTGGGGTGTGCAGGGGGGCAGCGGCCTCTCCTCTCCTGAGGCCCACCCAGCAGCGCTGGGCCGGGGGACAGCAGAGCCCAGCATGGACACTGGGGAGAGAAGCTGGCAGGGCAGAGAGTGTTTGCAAAGCAAAACCAGAGCGCACGGTGAAGCTGGTCCTTCCTCTCACAGCCACCCACCGCCCAAAGCCAGCCCCTGGCTGTAGGGAGCTCATGAGAAACCACAGGGGTGTGGGTGGTGGGGGGACGCAGCTCCTCCGGCTCGGCCTCGCCTGGGCCTGCCCGGTCCCCCCTGCCCTGGCCCGGAATCTTACCTGAAAGGGTTTTTCAGTTCCTCCGTGATATAATTGAGCTGATTCCTAGAGAAAGAAAAGGGAATTGCTCGACAGCCTTCACCTTCTGCACCACAAACTAGTCCCATGTCTCCACCACACAGACAGTCCTGCAGCAATTCTGAGAAGCCCCCGGTGCTGGTGGCCTCAGGGGCTCTGTGGCCTCAGCACTGTCCCTGGGTAAGTCTGGGTCATGTGACTGCTCCAGTGGGTTGCAAGTTGCTCAGGGGCTTTGAGAAAATGGACAGGTTTTGAAACACAGTGGCACCTGCAGAGCTCCCGGGAGTGAAGCTGAGGCTGCACCCCCTTCCGACACCACACCAGCAGCTCCCCTGCGCCAGCATCGGGATACTGCGGGGCCACGTGTGTGCTGGACTCCCACCCTCCTGGTTTGGCTGAGCCTGCGTGTGTCTGGAGAGGCCCCACCTGAGGCCGGTTCCCCCGAGAGGGACTAGGAAGGGGGTGGGGTGTCTGTCTTGGGGAGGAGGGAGGGGGGTACTTAACAAAAGGCAGATGTGAAGGTGATCTTCAGGGTCCCACCAGCCCCCAGAAGTCATCACTTTCCACGCGTGTTTAAGTTAAGGAAGAGCAGCCGAGCCCTGCAGGGACACTTACCACCCGTCATAGGCCCAGAGCCCGTTGTAGAAGGCCAAGCTGATGGAGCCCACGGTCAGTTGTGCGCCCTCAAAAGAATTCTCAAAGTTCTTTGTATTTCCTGTAAGGCAGACGGGGGGTGGGGGGATCCGTGTCAACTGGGGGCTTCCCACCCTCTGGATGAGCAAATGGGGTAACTGCGGCTACTAAAGAAGCTGGCCAAAACTGCACCCTCCCTGGTGGTGCAGCGGGTTGAGTGCAGCACGGTGAAGCTGGCTGCAGCTGTTTCAGCACAAGTTCGATCCCCGGCCAGGGAGTGAGCCACAGGGCACTGCGGACCTCTCTGTCTCCCCGCTGCTCCCCTCAGCAGTGGATTTCAGCCCATCTGCCTATTCCGCTCCCCACTCTGACTCTGGTGAATCCTCACTGTCCCTGCACCTCTGACCTGTACCCCAGTTCTGGATGCATAAATAAAATAAAAATCTTTATAAAAATATCTGAAACCAAGAGTCTGCTGAAGTTCTCGCGGGAGCAGGGTCTGCTGATGAGGACAGCATCACCTTTGGCCAGGAGCACGAATCCGCTGATGATGATGATGGCCACGATCACCATCTTGGCTGCTGTGAACACGTTCTGGACGTAGCTCCCCAGCCGCACGCTCATGGCGTTCACCGTGATGATGAACACTGGAAGCAGGAGAGGACGGTCTGTCGGCTGCGAGCTGCCCCCTCCTGTGGGCCTTGGCGAGATCCTTCCCCTCCCCCGGCCCCCAGCCCCCTGTTCTGCACCCCACTCATCCAAATGCACCTCGTACCACACCTCTGACATCCAGCTGCTTCCAGAGGTGATGAGAAGCAGCCGGGGGCCAGCCCGGCTGTGGTCACCCTGAGGTGACCACACACAGCGACGCCTTTCCCTGGCATCCCCTCCCAGGGGTGAGGCCTTGTGCCAAGAGCAGATACTGATGCCCAGACCCACTGGCCTCCTGGATGTGGCGGCACCTAGACCAGAGCCCCCCCACATCGCCAGAGTCCCCCCAGACCCCCGTGCCAGGTCTTGAGTACTCACAGATGGCAGCAGCTGCCAGGCACTTAACCACCAGCTCCGGGGGATTGCAGCCCGTGTAGAAGGGCGCACAGGCATACTCGGAAAAGCTGAGGCAGATGATGGCAAAGGACGTGGGCTTTATGACGAACAGGCTGGTCCAGGAAAAGAGGTAGGCGGGGATGGGGCCGAAGGCCTCCATCAGGTAAGGGTACTCGCCGCCCGACTTGGTGATCATCGTGCCAAGCTCCGCGAAGCACAGGGCACCTGGAACACAAGAAGGACGGGGTCATCCTGGCCCGGGCACCCCTCTCCTCGGGGGCAGGCCCCCCTCGCTGCTCTCTCACCAACCCGAGTCCCGGCCATTGCCACGTGGGCACAGCCAGCCCTACACCTGGTTGCAGCGAGCCCTGAAGGTGGGGCAGGTGCGCAGTGGCCGCCAGGCCAGGGCACGGCTGGCTGCACGGTGACCCCGCTCCACGGCTCGGCAGGGTGGGCCCCCCGGGAGCAGTGTCCGTTACCCAGTGTGGCGAGGATCCCACAAGCTGCCCATACGATGAGACAGGGCCCCACGGCTTCCGTGTTGCTCAGCACAGATTTGGGGGAAATGAAGATTCCGGAGCCGATGATGGAGCCCACGATGATGCAGACGCCGCTGAAAAGGCCCAGCTGAGAGGCGCAGGCGGAAGCGCGGAGTCAGCGCGGCCCAGGCCTGGCCCTGCGGCCCTCCCTCCGGCCAGCGCCCGCCCGCCCCGCCCCTGCTTCGCCCCTGGGGCGCTCCCAGAGGTGCCCCTTGTCACCCCACATCGCCCGGGGCGGTTGAGGGATAACACTGGGCTCGGTTTCTTCACAACAGCCTGCGGAGTCAGGTAAGCTGTGGTCACACCCATTATGCAGAGGGCAGCGTGGCGGTGCAGAGAGGTCTGGCTGCCCAGAGCCAGCCGCGGCGCCCTTGACCTGGTGCAGGGCCCGCTCCCACCTTGGCCTGCGTGGCAAAGGCTGGGTGAGCAAACAATCGCCCAGACGGCCTCCCTCGGGACACAGGGCAGGGTGGGAGGGAGGGTCTCCCCCAAAGCTGTGAACAGGGTCAGGGGCTGCGACCCCGCAGAGGTGCCCCGAGGGGCGAGCAGTGGAGGCCCCGGGGCAGATACTCGCGGGGCTGTGACTTTCTCTGACGCTGCGCAAGCTTTGCGCAGCGCGAGCTTCCCGCCGACACACAGCGCGGTGGCACGTCCCTGAAGGGCAAGAGCAGGCAAAGCTGACCTCCAGGGCCACGGCTCAGCCTGGGGCCGCCTGGAGAGGGGCAGGGGGTGCTCTCAGGGCTGACTGGTTTGTTAGAAGTCATCAAACTAAACATCGGCACATTTCACGTATGAAAATTAGACCTGAATCAAGAAAAACCAATCTTTTTAAGGAATAAAATGGCCAGCTCGGGCTCCTCACGGCCTGGTTCCTGGACCCTGAGGCCACGGCCGGCGGGGACCCCACGGTGGGGAGGGGCCCGCAGCCCGAAGCCCTGACGGCTGGGGGAGGGGCGGGGCAGTCGTGGGGCTCAGCCCAAGCCCAGCACTGTCCCAGCGCACCCTCCCTCAGGCGGGGTCCACTCAGGAAGCCCACAGGCAACTCATGCCGTCCCCCAAATCCCACCTTCGCCCCTCTGCTGCCAGGAATAGGTGCTCCCCTCGCCCTGTCCCCCCCACCATGCTGGCCCGGAAGCCATCTGGGGCCTGGCTCATCTGCACCCCAGGGGCTAGAGTTGTCCTCCAGCAGCGGAGTCCCACGCCCAAGTCCTTAGCACCCCCACACCCAACCCCCCCACGCAGGCCCACGGCAGCCCCATTTCTCATGTGCTCTGCCCATCCTGGGCCCCTGCAGAACAGCTGCAACAGCCCCGCCCCACAGGGTCTTCTGTTCCACCCCTGTGCACTCGAGGTCCCAGCTTTCTCACAAAGACCCCTTCACTAGAGCTGTTCAGACCTACGCATGACAGATATTGGGGGAAGGTAGAAGGCTGAACCCCCTGGCAGTCGGAGCACATGCCAGCACCCCCCTCCCCAGACGCTCCCCTGGGCCAGTCTGGCAGGAATATGCCCACTTCTCTGGCAAGAGGAAAGAGGTCAGTCTGAAGGATGAGTGCCCGCTGGCCAGAGACCCACCGCCCGCACGCCCCTGCCTGACCCTCCACAGGGGGCCTCCCCGGAGAACTCCTCACCTCTTTTTGGAGACTCGTGCTCTTGGGTACTTTATCCTGCTCCGACTGCTCATCTTCTTTCCTCTTCCTCAGACTCGGCTCCTCCATTCTCTCCACTTGCCAATTCTAGGAGGCTGCAGGGAGGGCCAGGCCTGGACTCAGCACGCAGCCTAGGGGACCACACGCCCCCGGCCCCTGGGCTGCTCCAGCCCTGCACCGCGGGCCGGTGGCCGCTGCCTTCCAAAGCAGGTCATTCGCTTCTGTCCTAGAAAGCTTCATCCCTTCGGGGCCACTCGTCCAGTCCCAGGAATGACAGTCTGCGGTGTCGGCTGACCAGGCCCCAGAATGGCCTGTTCCTTCTTCTTCAGCCTCCTCCTGCAAACCCCCACCCTCCAGGCTCACCCTGCGGGGGCTCCCCACCCCCAGCTGTGAAACTCAAAGCCTTCACCCTCCGTGGCCCGCTTCAGTGTTTCCAAAAGCAAACCAAGTGTCCTGCAATGTGCTCGGAGGAGCTGCGCAGGGGAAGGAACGCCGCCTTCCGGTAGTTACTGCCCCGGCCCACGCAGGGGGGCTGTGGCCTCTAGGTGTTCTAACAGTGATGTCAAGAATAGAAGGAAAAAACCCCGAGAACAGCCTGCGCGGCTGCCTAGCTGCGGTCACTCCCGTGCCCTACCCAGAGGGCCCCCGCAGCCCGGGCCGGGCAGCGCCCGCCTGCCCGTCGCCCCTGGGCCTTACCTTCTCCCCTGACCTGGCAGGACCGGGCAGCTGCCTGCGGCGCCGCTCGCCTGGAATGACGGGTCGCGCCCTCGGAATGGCCATGTCTTGTGCCCAGGAGCGGAGGAAGCCCCAAGGTCCAGAGGTCAACAAAGGTAATTATTAAACACCTTTTCTGTTCTGAACAATGCCGCGTGGACACACCGCCAGAAGGGGACGGTGGTAAGCCAGTTTCTCTCCAGAAACATTTTTATTTTGTTCATTTGTGGCTAGACTCATATTTGGTTTCTTTTTTTACCTTGGCCAAGGTTCCCCAAAATCAACTATATCCAGTAAGGGGAAATCACTAAAGACTGGAAGTCGAGGTGTTAAACTTTGGAACCAACTGATTTATTGCTGTAATAGTGTGCATTTACCAGTATCCGGCAGCACAAACGGTTAACAGTAGAACACCACTGGCCGGGCAGGGCCGTCGCAAAGGAATCTCTGCCCAGGGCCCTGGTCTGATGTCCCCTCACCTTTGCCAGGTAGTGGGGTTCAGCACTACCCGGAGCTGTAAAGGAGTTTGGCAAAGTGCAGACACAGCCCAGAGGCCCTGGCAGGGCCCTGTGGCCCATGGGCACGGCCCCTGGGTGGACACGGGCCCCTGGGGGTGCACAGGTCCCCCTGCGTGGACACCGGCACCTGGTGGACACAGGACCTCCTGAGTGAACACAGGCCCCTGGATAGACACGGGCCCCTGGGTGGACATGGGCCCCTGGGGGTGCACAGACCCCTCTGGGTGGACATAGGCTCCTGGTGGACACAGGCCCCTGAGTGGACACGGGCCCCCCTGGGTGGACACAGGCCCCTGGGTGGACACGGGCCCCCCTGGGTGGATACAGGCACCTGGTGGACACGGAGGCTCCTGGGTGGACACAGGCCCCTGGGTGGACAAAGGCTCTTAGGTGGACATGGCCCCCCCTGGGTGGACATGAGGCCCCCTGGGTATGTGGTGTTCACCCCTACACAGTGGAAAGGGGTTAACAATGTCATCAACCACAGTCTCACTTGCTTTCTGGGGAAACTGAGGCCCCAGTGTGAGTCGGGCACCCCCAGAGGTCTGGCACCCCCAGAGGTGAGACTCTTCTGGAGGCCCTGCCCACCCCGGAGGCAGCCAGTCCCTCCCCACACTCACCCTTATCTCAGACAAAGCTTTCTGGAGAAGCATTGTTGTTGTTATCCAGCCTCTCCCCTGCAGTTTTGCTTGGGATAAATTTACCAGCATCCCTGATACCCAGCTGAGAGCAAAGGTCGAAGTCCAGACCTGGGCGGAAGCTCTGGGACAGCGCTTAGCGCAGTCACCCCTGCAGAGGCTCTGCGGCTGTCTGTCTGGGGCGCCCCTCTCTGCCCACTGAGCCCTGAGCCCAGCGGCACCTGTGGCTGTGGCCAAGCCAAGCTGGGGCTGGGGACCAGGCCGGCGCCAGCCCACACCGCGGCTGAGGGCCCCAGGGACCTGCCGGGCCATGGCCCACGGTCAGCTGGTTCACAGATCCCTGCAGAATCCCGGGGGTGGAGGCTGCCCGCAGGGGACTGATCTCAGAACAGAAACCGTGAGGTGGGCACAGAAGCCACTCACCGGTGCCACTTAGGCGCTGCGGGAGGGGATGTGGCACCAGAGGGCTGGGGGGGAGTGACAGGACTCCCCAGAGACAGAGTGGGGAGCAGAACAGGTGAACTGACTGAAATCCACTGCTGAGGGGAGCCGGGGGGTGCAGGAGAGGTCTGCTGCACACTGTGGGTCACTCTGGCTGGGAATTGGGGGTTGTGCTGAGACTTAACCCCCAGGCCAGCAGGGAGCCCCCTCCCAGCCCTAATGTTTTTCAAGACTTATGCAGCTGTGTAAATCATTCCCCACAGCGCCCTGGCTGTGATTCAATGCCCAGACAAGGGAGTTTCTCTTTACAGCTTGTTCCAGGCCTGCCTCCAACTTTGCAAAACTTCTTCTCTTCCTAAGTTCACTTGGTCCCGCCTTCCTTCCCACCGCTCGGTCACCTGCGCTCCCCGGGGCCCCACAGCTGTTCCCTGGGTGTTCACTGCAAGCAGAACACACGCTGAGTCAGTGCAGTGTGCAGCTGCAAACAGCCAGCGCCTGGAATGGACCTCTAAAACAATTAGCAAGGGCAGCACAATGTGGAGACTCTAATCTGGACGCCCGAGACCTTGGTCTGGGATGTACAGACCATCACTGCTGTGTCGCAAGCAGCACCGGCGTGGTGTGTGACCTCCTGGAAACCAGGACCCTACTGCAGGCTTATCTAGGTTTCTCCCCCAAACCTGACTCTGTCCTGCTCCCGGATCCAGCCGATCCCTGTTCTCTATCACTGTCGCCTCTTGAGCCTCGGTGCTTGCATTTGATGAGAAGCTGTACCCCTGGCAAAGCCCAGAGAAGAGGGTTCTAAGCAGTCGCATGTCTCTTTTGGGTAGAAAGTTGCCATCTTTGGTAAATACATTTCTCTGTGCCCAGCATCCCCAATTAGGGAAACCGGCCTCCTTGGGGGTTCCGGTGGATGAGCCAAAGACCCCTGTCCTCTAGCCCCTGGGGAGGCCCATGACCCCAGCTTAGCCTTTCTAGGGCTTCTGAATCCTGACTTGGGGGCAGGAGGGGAGTGGTTGGCAGCCGCTGGAGGCCAGTGTGGTCCCGGTCTCTGTCCTGAGAGCCGTTATAGACCCTACATGTCCCCTCCTTCACCTGGACGTGAGACTGTCGACTCCCAGTGCCGCAGTGCAGCCCTGAGGGTGTTGGGGGGCTCATAGACTAAAGAATACCCACTGGGGTGAAACTTGGCTGAGACCCTATGATCTCCTGAAGTCAGTGGTTGCTTTAAGGGAGGAGTTACTGGAGCGACTCCTCTGTGTCTGCACCCACTGTAAGGGGTGCCGCAGGGTGATTTGGAACTGGGGGGGCACAGGGCAGAGCACCCCGGAGAGGCGAGGAGAGCCAGCCTCAGCCTTGGCTCAGGTGCCTTGGCCAGTTCAAGGAAGCAGCCTCTGGATTCTTCCTATTTGTATGGACGCACCAACCCAGCCAAGACCCTCACCAGCTTCCTCTGATCTGCTGTTGGGGGACACTGGGCCAGTGAAAGCAGCCCAGTGGGCTCAAGGGAGCCCCTGCGAAGTAGGAGAGCCCCCTCCCCCCACATACACATGCACACACACCAGCCTGTAGCCAGGAGTCCAAGCTCCAGCCGCCTGTCACCACCCAGTGCCAATAAAGCAGAGTCAGGATTGCATCTTTAAAGTGCATGTTCATCAGACAGCGGCAGTCTGCAAGGTAGGGGTTAGCACCCTAAGGAAACAGCCCTCATGTTTCATTCCAGCTGCCTTTTTATATGAGCTGGACAAAGAGAGTTCAGCAGTGAGTGGCCTTCATGGCTGCAGGAGACTGATGCCCAGGCCCCGTGTTTCCATCGCCTCCTGGACACCCTGTCTCCAGGGGTCCGGTGCGCTGAGTCTGGCCTTCGACAGTGCTGACCCCCAGGGTCCCCCAGGTGTGTCCTTGGGCTGAACAGTCAATTCAGGGGAGCTCGAAAGTACTTTGGGGTCATTGGAGAATTTTGAGCAAAGGAGAATGATGGGAATACTTGGCTAATGACCCCTTCAGAAATGTCAGTGGTTGATGTTTATTGCTGCTTTATTTACAACAGGAAAGATATGAAGACAACGCAAACACCCAAAGGTAGATGACTGGATTAAAAAGATGTGGTCATATACACAGTGGAATATTACTCAGCAATCAAAAAGGTAAACTCGCCTTTTGCAGCAACGTGGATGGAGCTGGATGGGCTCACTCTTAGTGAAATAAATCAGGAAGAAAAGGAAAAATACAGGATGGTTTCACTCATAGCAGGAGCATAAAGGACCAGGGGAGAAAATAATAATAATAATGAACAACTATATACCAGAGACACTTTTTAGGGGTGGAGGGGGGAATGGGATCAAAAATGGGAGGGGGGAGTGCACAGGACTATGGTGATGGCACACGGGTGATTTGGTGATGGGAAACCCATGGGGATTACAGCTGAGATGGAAAAAGGCACAAAATGATGTGAAAATAAACTATTCTATTATTAAAAAGAAGAAGAAGAAGAAAATGTCTAGTTGGTGCTGATTTAACGCTTTCCCCCCTCCCCTGGATGTTGCATCTCTTCCTCCTAAAGCACTCGACCCCTCCTCTACCCCCCTGGCCCCCCACCTCGGCAGGCTCTCAGGAGATGAAGGTGCTTGCTTCTTAACTAGGGGCCAGCCTGGACACAGCCGTGCGCGTGCTGGCTTCCTACACGGCAGTCCTGCCTGGTGCCCGCTCCCTGGCCCCCAGCGAGCCCCCTGCAAGCGGTGAGCCAGCCATCACCAAG